ATAGCCCTTCTTTATAAATTATCAAGATCAAGGTTTAATTTCAGTTATCATTCACTCATCACACAATTTCTTAATGCCTGAAACCTTTTTGATATTTTGTGGAATTAAGGAATAGTAACACTACTCTTGCTTTACAGCTGCAACAGAATCTGAGGAAAATACGAATTCACAGATAAAGGTGTGTACATTATGACTGTCACTTACTAATACTTGGAGAAAGTTGTTAGGTTTAAAACAGCACACTGTATTCTTGACTCAAGATGTACATGAACCCATTTTTGCTAGCAGTTTCACAGCTTTTAGTACCAGCCGTTACCTGATGTACATCTGCTTGGGACCAGGTGGACAGGACTTGTCAGTTTTACATGTTACTTTGTAGTATTTGGATGGGTGGTGGTTGTTGTGGTACTATCTTTAAGTCTCAGGATTTGTCTAGACTCTATTCATTTGTTTACTGTTAAGGTGGATGGATCCAAAAAATGTAGCAGGAGAGGTGAAAAATCTTGTAAGAGTGCATCCTTCTTCTATACCATCAAAATAGGAACATCCTACAATACTYCTCGAAAGACAGTTGGTGACAGCCAAAAATAAAAGTGTCATTGCTCCCTCACCCATCGACTAATTCCATCCATAGTTTAGTAGACATGAGTACATGACTGTAAGTGCTGTTTTATGATTTTGGGACACTGCAGGACAATGCCAGAGGACAAGGAAATATTCCTTCTCAGAAACATGAAGAGGAAAAGAAAAAGAGCTCAAGTAAATTTGGAAAGGCATTTACCAAGTAAGTTCTTGTAAAGGATTGTCAATGTTGTGTAAATATGTTAATTGGCTGCTTTGAAATTCTCAACAACTGACATAATAATCAGTTGCTGTATAAACTACACTTGTCTAACTACGTGTAAGAAGATGGGGCATTACAAGTACATGTTTGTCCCTTTTCATTAAAAGTAGAATGAAGTTTATAAAACTGACATCCAACTACTATCAATATTTTTGTGTGTGTTAGTTTTGGGTTCAAGCTTGACAAAATCTGATAACTTTGGCTTTGGTTAAATTTCTAGTGCAGGAATGAAATAAAAGGACTTTTTATTATTTAGTAGTGATAGTACAGTC